TAGTCTCGGTTGTCAAACGCTTTTTCATAGTCAACGAAGGTTAGGATGAGAGGTAGGCGGCACTCTCGGCAAACCTCGATAGTCTCCGAACCGTCTAAATGTGATCCACGCAGCTGAATCCCTTACGAAACATTTTACACTACAGTGGGCTTCATCAAGTGTCCTTGATATGCAAGTGAGACAATCTTCCTGAAGAGCTTGGCACGCTTAGCAGGCATATTGGACGGTAGTTATAAAAATCCTTTCTATGAAGGAGGATTGTTTGAAAAGTTCTCCACTGGTCGGGAATCCTTTCCTTTTGAAGGTAAGACGGTAAATATTCTGCAGGTATCTCGTGCAGGCGATGTCCTCCAGCACAAGAGATGGTCGAAACGTGGTTCCGTCCTGAAGACGTGGCTGCTATGATGGTATGTATTGCGGCACGTACTTCAGCAGGTAGAATTCGTGGTGGTATTTTATTAGTGGGGATAATAGGGTTTGACGCGGGTGTTGATGAGATTAATGTAGAATCGCTTCGTGATCGATTCCATCTTCTGTCGGGAAGATGTGCGAGTCCCGTCTTTGTTTAGTAATGTTGTCAGCGGAACACGGTAGTCGAGAAGGTCCCGCGGTATTTTTTTAGACTTCTCCTTCCTTCCAAGCAACTGGTAACGGTACCAGCCGCTCGAGGTGTGATGCAGTCGGATCCAGCCGCAGTGCCCTCCTCTCTAGCATCTCCTTGGTGGCTCTCGAAATTCGTTCCAAGTTCCTTCTTCGAGATATTGAGGCACTTTCACTCTGAGAAGCAGGTCTTAATCCTTCGTTGGGTCTTCTCGATGGCCAGTAAGTGGTCAAGAGCTCCTCCAATCTGACACCGTCATAAACGACTTCTCTCCTTCCTCTAACACCAAATCTTCGTCTTCAGCTTTCGGCTGAAGCGCACTTTGCTCGAAGGAGGCGGTGATCTGAACCACTGCTGAAAGATGGTACCATTAAGAGTCCAGTAAGCCCCACTTTCGTTTGGTGAGAATGTGACCGATCTTCGCATGACGTACAGTTGGGTGACTCCCATGTCCACCGCCAATGTTTTTTTTCATGAAAATGAAGTTGCCATAAAAAAGTCTTGCGGCGGATAAGAGCCTAAGAAGACGGTTACCATTTCCATTCCGGAGTCCTGATCCAAATTTACCGATCTTATGCTTCCCTTCTTCTGACATCCCAATTTCCGCATTAAAGTAATCCATGACAAATTCGTAGAGGGATCGTTACGGATGACTTCCTTTAAATCCCCATAAAAAAGCATCAAGCTCCGAGTTATCTGCTGCTGATGCTGGAGAATAGCAGTTGATGATAGTAATGGTTTTCTATTGCAGAGGACAGAGTCGAAGGATAGCCAAACGGGGTGCTAGGATATCATGCGAATAGATAAGATGGACAACAGATGGGTTTGCGACAATTCCGACGCCTTCAACGTTCCATGATGGAACTTTCCCACTACGAATGACGAATGTGCCATCATTCAGCTGCCTCATGTCCGTCTTCCTTGACTTTCTTCCCTGCAAGCCAGACCTTGACGGCGGGTCTCCGAAGGGCAAGCTGGCTTTCGTTTTTGTGAAAAACGAAAAGAGAAAATCGGGGCCCAGAGAGGAGCCTGGAGTTCAATCTCAATTATGACCCCTTCTTCCACAACAAGAATTTGAAGTTCCACACTTAAAGACCGTTTAAAAATCTGCTCCAGCAAAGGTGCAATTCTCGTTCCAATGCGGGAAATTTTAAAGTTCCAAATTTTTAGAAAAATCCGTTTTTCTAACCGATTAGGCAATGAACATCCACCAAAATTGGCGCAAAAATGCACAACAAAGAAAGAGTTTGAAAAATCTCTGAAATTTTATGAGAATGAAGAAATCGCCGTACCTTTTTGTTATTTAGGTCTCCGCGGAGATCTACGGGAGACCTCAGGTCTCCGATTAGCAAACAGTTTTTGTTTCTCATAATCGTTTTTTATAGCAAACACTTTTCGTGCACCCTTTGTTACAGCACAATAGATAAAAGCACTTTCTCGCTTCCTTGCTAGGGCCCTAAATCGTATTACCTTAATGAAGAAGACGCGCTCCAGGTATAAAGCACAGTGCTTGTCCTGATTGCACGCGTTTGAGGTTACAAAGGAGGCTCCGTGATTTCTTAGATTTTCAAGCGGGAATTCGTTCTCATAAGGTTCAATCAGAGACCTTGTGCCGAGGCCTGCTGCAAATTCCTTGCAGCTTCGAGAAAGGCGAAGATCGGTGTTGGTGGAGACTGTCTTGGCGTTGTAGGTGAAGAGCATGAAACGATCTCCATGGCAAGTCGTGGACGTGTGCTTTTGATCAATCCTTGGCCTGTGCATGACATTTGTCTTGATGACATTCGACGCCGGAGATGTGATTCAGTGTGCAGGGATTTTTTCCTATTACATGCTGTACAAGCAATAGAAAAAAATTCCCCAACTTAGCAGCTTGCCAGGGCCCGCCAAGCTTTCACCGCAAGCAATCGTTGACCTATGTGGATCAGAAAACCAACTAGCGGCTAACTCTGCCAGACGTGAAGCTTTTGCATGGCCTACTCTTAGCTGGAAATCCGGGGAGTCGGGAAAGTCGAACTCCTACTAAGCTTGGGAGACCTTGCTGGAGGATAAACCTCCGCTCTACTTTGCAGTGCGACACCCGAAGTCACCCCTACACCACGATGAGGCGATAGACCATCATGGGGGCATTACATCATGTTATGAAAAGTACAGTCCAACCTTTGCAGGTGTCCCTTTGTATGATACTTATGCCTATGAGAAATATCATTGATTACGCTCTTGAGTTGGATTGACTCGTGAATTAAGGGTGTCGCGATCGCGCCGCCATCATAAATGTGTGAGAAGTAACTCATTGAATAATCAGCTACTTGAATGCTAGCTTGCAAATTAGCAATGAAATTAAAATGTAACATTCAAACGTTCTTAAGCAAGTTGGTTCAAACTCCTCTATAGTAAGTATTGGGGTTCTCAGCTGAATACGTACCATTTTTGTCAAATTCGATAAATTGATAAGCATTAATGAAAGAATTAGTCTCCCTTTTCAAGAAAATACATTTGATTCATCGTTAAATTCGCCTTTGTCGAGCTAGAAGTGATCGAAATTCTTATTAGGTCAAGAAAAAAACGCAACCGTCACCTTAATCCTTCTGCGAAAAATCCAGCAAATTGCTGTAACGCTACCTTTTTATAGTTGGTATACGCTAATCACGAAAATCGTAACCATTTTCCCATATTTGGACTTTATTTTACGATTGCGGTAGGTATTGAGGTCAAAATCATAGGTTTGTCTGGTAGGTGGTCTGTTTGACGAGTTGATTACGACAAATGTAATCATTCGCTATGACAAA